TGTGCATACGCATAGCAAGCAAATTAAACGAAAGTGCGAAACATAACATGTAAAGCAAATAATAACACAAAATGAAATGATTTTCTTTAAGATGTTGTTTAGATAAGGTCCACGAGTTGGATTTAGTAGGAATTATTTACCGTTTACTAGCGGAACTTTGATTCGAGAATGTATACATACTTTTTGGATAGGTAGCAAACTGTGTAGCAACTATTGAACAAGTAGCGCATAATGAAATGGTTGTTCAATGTATGTACTATCGATGTTAAATGAAAGCATCAAAAGACAAATGATTTTGCTGCGCAATTTTTTCATCAAATGTCGAAGTTAAAAGAAGCACTTTTTTGCGTATATTCAAAACACTGTAACAGCCGGTATATTTCATTAGGCCATTTCTGTCAAATTATAAGTAGGTATGTTGTCAGTTAGTTGTCAATTTTGTTTATTTCTAGATCGTACGACTTTTTTCGACAAGCTTGTGGAGCTCTAAATTTTTATACAAGGTGATATCCACATGTTTCGAGGGTATAGTCAAAATCAAGAAAGATGACTATTACGTTATCCCATAAATTGTACTGAAGTAATCAATGGACGTACGTCGATGATAAAATCTCTATGACACGAATTTATATAATGATTTTGCGAAGTTAGGTTATTTCAGTGATTATTTTTATTTCATGGTTTTAAGTGATACCTTAATAATAATTTTAGTGGGGAGTTTTTGTTGCGAAAAAAAAAACAGTTCTGAGTAGAATACACCTCAAGATATTAACACCAAAGGCCAAAGTATTATTCGAAAACAACCTATTCTGCTTTAACATAACCTAACTATTCATCTTTCAAATATCATGCAACATGAAAACATCGTCTATCTTTGTCAGATACATGCAAATTAGCAACACAGTTTGTTTAGACAATAAAATTCTATTTATCTCTGTCTAACATATCTGAAACTTCATTCAAAATATTCACAAATCGCTGTCGCTTGTCTCTACTACTCGTACACTAAAATGATGACGTAATCGTCATCTTTCGTGATTTCGACTATATATAAGGTAGTGTGTAGTTGTATATCAAGGTTGAGTAAGTTTTGGAACGAATAAGTCGTGAAAAGTCGAGAAGCATTTAATTTGAACTGTGACAAGAAGCGGCTACTCGTGACAATGCTATGGCTTAGACATTTGCAGAAGTGGTTGACAGAGATTCTGAACGATTCTTTTATTTAAACCGCAAAGGCTTTTGGCTGTAATTTATTATTATCATTATTATTCCAGATTTATTATTATGTATGTAGGTGAGAAATGAAAACAGACGAATTCAGACATTTTTGTCGATGACAAACTAACCGCAGCAGTGAATTGAACATATAAGTTTCACTTTGAAGGTCCGTTTATACCCTACATTTTTTCTGTGAACCAACAAATTTTGTAGTTTTGAATATACGCGAAAAAACAATTTATTGGTATTTGTCGTTTAATAAACAAAGTCACCAAATAAAATTTTGTGTATATTTGTGAGGGACATTCTTACTTGTAGGGCAAAACAGAGAAATAAATATGAAGCAACGTCATCTGTTAACAAAAGTAATGAGTGAATCGTTTGAAAAAATCTCATTATGCCTTAGAAGATGAGAGAGAAAGAGAGAAACTACAAAAATTTTATTCGTTCAGCGATCTCGCCCGCTCAAATTGCGCCACTTGCCCCCACGTTTTCCCAAGACAGAAATCAAGTTGAGGCGCGGCGACGGTTGAAAAACAGCTGAGAAGCGTCGCGACGCAGCAGCTTCAAGCGTCGGTGGGTAGATGGCGCCACTAATACGTTGAGAGCAACTTTAAAGAGTTATACGTATATTTGCTTGTAAGTTTAAGATGAGTGTTGAGGGAAAGGTTTGAAGAGAATATGTGAAAGTGAACAGAAAATGTCACTTTGATGCAGGACTAGTTGTAGTTTATTTTTGAGAAATACGCGTTTTTATAGAAAATATAAATAAATAAAGACTTGTTCCATTAAACGCAGAAATAAAATATATCTAGAGAGCTTTGGTAGTGACATTAGCTCGTCTGCGATAAAACTTGGCGGTTTTTTTAAAAAGGTTGAACACAGGATGATTTCAACGTAATGTATACAAACAATAGCGGAAACTAGACACAAGATAGTTTGACACATTTGAGGAAAATTTTGAAACAGTAAAGTATTCCGTATTAAAGAAAAATTGTTAAATGTTTCAGCCCGAAACACAAATGTTTGGGCTCAATGGAGAAGTTAATTGACATATATTCGTTTGTGGATTATGACATACATGTTGCGTTTTGCTATACAACTAGACTAGATTTGTTTTTTCAGTGTAAGTGACACTAAAACTTTATAAAACCAAAATAGTGTACTTTACGTGCAGACTTCATGTTTGAAATTATTATCTTTTGGGGCCCAAACGACTTAATTGCTTTTTGACATTTGAGGTAACCTTAGATTCCTCTACTTATTAGGTATGTAAAATAGATTTTTCTGAGTCGAGGGGAAGTGCCCGCTGGGTGGCCTATTGTCATTGGAATGTCGCGTCCCGAGCTATTGTTTCAGGATGTTCCGGCCCTGTGCAGTACTTATAGCCTATTGGTCGCAGATCATCCGGCTCAGTAAAGAAAAACAAATTATATTTTGTATTTAAATGAGTATCTTGCCAATAATTATCCTCTATGCACAACAAGAGGGCTTCTGCTTTAAACGTTTTAAATTAGCATGCAAAAAACTCAGAGATACCTTCGGAATTTTATGGGTATTACAATAACGTTTATAGTCATTTATTTTAAAAAGGTTTTTCCAGCGTAAAATAACCTTATTAGCGTTACCGGCCAATAGAACACTGTGATGGAGAATAGCAGTTTCTTTGCGTGCATAATTTTTAAAAATTGATGTTTTATATTGATTGAAGTACGGAAAATATACGGAGAAACGTTACAAGGCTTATAACAGGAATTTATTTATTTTATCTATTAGTAATTCAATATTCAGACGTTTATCGATTTCTAGTCATCCAGGTGATTTAACAGTATTAACTGTATTTTATGCTCAATGCTTTTTTGAGTTGAGTACATTTTCACACCTGCACCTATTAAGGATAATACTATTTATTCTCGTATATCCTAATTCTGTATTTCAATAACATTTTCACGCCCCTGTAACCCATTTTTCTACCCGACTTTTCATGCGTTATCAAACATGTAAATCCCAATTACCAAAAAGTTCGTTTTGGAAGTTATATGACTTTAGCACCTAAGTGTTAACGATGAATTTTTGGCTAAAAGTTACATACAGTATATGGTATCCATCTTATTAAACGACAATATCAAAAAAGCCCTAGGCAAATTGTGACAGTGTAAGACGAATCAAGATTCCGCAATGTGTTCAAGCCAAACGGTAATTAAAGAAAGAAACCGGAAATACAAACCCTCAAACTCAGACACTCGAAAATTGCTTAATTACGAACAGTAGGGGCGTAAGTTACAATTACAGGAACAAAAAAATAAATAAATGTACGTTCTGCACATGTGTATACCAAGTCGTATGTTGGTTGAGAAAACAGTCCGTCGTGGGTATACATTATCCGAAAAATTAATAGTAGATAATGGTCGTTTAGAAAGAATAAAAAAATCCTAATTGTACCTGTTTAAGAAGCAAACATATGCCCAGGTCGGCATATGTGCGTAGGTACTATATTTCGAATGTCTCGAGTTGGATTTTTTTCTTTTTGACCGAACGGCCGACTGTCTCAACGTTGACCCTTTTTTACGTAGGGGGAATAAATCACTCGAAGCATTGTTCGAACAGCTTTTACCTCCTGTGTACTGTCAAGTACTTTGATCTTGAAAAGTTAAGCATTTTTACTTCTTCCGTGCATCTTCTAAACGTCACAATATTTTGAATTGCTCTGTGTCTCTCGACTCATCTGTTTATTTAAGTGTTGACGTATTTGGTTTCGCGGAATCTCGTCGACAGCTGCATCGATCTTGATTAAAGGAAGCTATACGGTGTGTGGTTGAACTATCCGATATTCGCTTCTATAGAATGTGTGTGCTGTGGACTACGAGTTCTACGGTATAGACGAGCTTAATCGGTTATTTTGTATTTATGGAGTCATTTCGAATACTCAAAATAAATACTATATTTGGAGTAAATCGATGATTTTTGGTATTTCGCGAAAGTTTCTTGAAAGCGCGGAATTTGACGATAATGCACATTATAAACCACAATGTCAAAATAATAGATACATGCAAGTATAACATGCAGATCATTAGATGCCCAAATATCATAACACCCGTCAATCCCATGGTACAAATGCTCTTTATATTGAAGATCCATGATAGTGCAAAACGTAATACTAGAGCTTTATATCGCCAGCCTGTTGCAGACTTTTATCATGAGTACATTGGGATAGTATCTGTCCAGAGAAAAATGCAAGACGAAAACAGGGGTGTGGTAAAAGTTTGAAGGTGTATGAGAGGATTGTCTGAGAAACTGTCATCGCTGTCAGACCTTTTTTCTAAGTTTATGATAATTTGCTCCTGTCAAGTACCTCTGCTGCCACTTCGATCGGAATTAACCAGACAGGTACTGTTAACCGTACAGTGTTGCCACACTAGGTTGGCAACTTTTTAAAGCTTTCCAGCATGTTTATAAATGAATATAATTTTTAGTTATATTGATTAGAATGAAAACTATGTCGCGTATAAAATGCTTCTCTTGCATTCAGTAATGTTTTTTTTCAATATAAGCCCAAGAAGCGAATTTCATGCATATTCTCTGACATCTTTATTTTGCGCATCTTTTGCCTTGTATTCTCTCTCTGGTCAGATAAGAGAGATTTATGGGATCCGCTTAACAAAAACATAGTGCTTTAGTATTCCATGACGACGTTTTTGTCAAGTTCTAGCATTGTTAAAAATATCAACACTACTTTACTAGTCAATTTGCTTAAAAACACACATCAGTCTAACACCGAGACGCTAACTACCAACCATAAACTCAAAATACCCTACCTGTAACTCATTGACAATTTTCTCCGTCATCAACTTATCCGGCGAGCTCTGACCGCTGCCCAACTGTTGATGCATGTTAACCATCTGCTGTTGCTGTTGCGCAACTTGAGCTAGCGCATGCGCGTGAGCGGCTTGCGCAGCCGAATTGGGACTGCCCAGATGCGGGGACTGTTGAGGCGGCTGCTGTTGCTGTTGATTTTGCTGCTGCTGTTGATTCTGGCCGCCATTCTGTCCCGGCTGTTGATTCATTTGCTGTTGGTTCATCTGCTGTTGTTGCTGCTGGTTCATCTGTTGTTGTTGCTGCTGCTGTTGTTGTTGCTGTTGGTTGGACTGTTGTTGTTGAGCTTGAGGTGAATGTTGTTGTTGAGCGTGTGCTTGCGGTTGGTTGTTCTGTTGTGCGTTGTTTGGTTGCTGCTGTTGAAGACACAGGGTAATTAAATACATAATTCCATAATTAGTCAGAGAAGTAAGATGTTTTTGTTGAGTATTTTCGCGGAAATTGCAAAATGTTAGTTTGATAATCTAATCAAAATCGCACAAAAAATTATCACCTTAGGAAATTTTGATTTGACATTTAAAATAATTGGAGGACGTTAAAAACGTCGTCTCAAATTACACAAGAATTGTTATTTAAAATGTTTGAAGTTTTTAGGATCCTTACTCAAGTGGACTGAAATTTCATTCAACTCTGGGTAATTACACCTATCGGAGGTTCTAACAGGTATGAAACTGTAAAATAAAATAAAACGGAACAATCGTTATCTTCAGCGTTACTGCAAGAAGGCGGGTTGGGATGTACAAGGCTTATTTCTTGTTCGCCTTCTGAATGCTTCTGAAGCATTTGGAGACATATACTGCCACCAACACAACGAACGTTGGACCTAATTTGTAGACGAGGACCAGGTAATTTTCAAATAATCTATAATAGACTAATAATTCCAGTGGAATGTCTCTAACAATAAATTAGATGTATCGCGAGCTCTGCGATACGTAGTGTCTTGTTTCTGTAACTGCAGTCAAACAACAAAACCATGGACATGTATAACGAATTTTAAAGAAATATGAATCAGTTGGTGTTGAAGGTCGGGCGATGTGTGGCTTTTTCCTGTGAAAGTATATCGAACTAGTCAGTGGGAGTTTTAAGAATCAACATTCGCCATATTTTACAAATATTCATGGTCCCAAATTCAATGCTTGTATGGCCGAAATCAGAAATGTCAAAGTCCTAAGTTCTCCAATGCAGTGCAACAATTATAATCTTTTTCACTACTAACCTGAGAAAGCATTATTCCGCATTAATTTAAGAAGTTACATTCCTCCTTTAGGTAAATAATGATAGTCAAACAAACTTAGATATACAATGAATGTTTGCGTTCATGTCGGATTTATTTGGCTTATTCCTGCTGTTCAACCTTTTATCCATTTTTGAATATTACAAGTAAATCTGTCTTATGACTAAAATTATTGCTATTTGTGATAATTTATTTTAATGTAGATACTATTATTTTTTTATATAATAATAATAATAATAATAATAAATGGCCTTTATTTTATAACAGTGAAGTAACTTTAGTGCTCGCTATTTTTCATACTCATACTCATCGACCACAAGGTCAGTTCACTTTTATTTGTTGCTAGGCAACGGATCCAACCACCGGCTTTTGGTGATGTAGTACGGACAATCTATTCATTGGTCCACTAAATTTTTGGCTTGCCTTATAGGCAGTCATACATATTTTTTTGCCTGAGGCGTAATATGCGCTTATGTCCTTTGGTGTGTTTTTTCAAACCCTTTACGCCCTAAGTACATAAATAACTATTATAACGATTTCCTAGTTTTATTTCATTTTAAAGCTAAAAAGCACCCGATGAGCAACTTTTAAAATACCACTACTTTCCTTTCAGTATTTTATTAGACCCGATTTTACTAAGCCGGAGCAAAAAAGAGAAAAATTATATAGTTTATGTAAGATGAGCTCTTAGTTCCGATATCTAATAAAAAAAATATGCCATAAATCATTTGATTTAGCAGCAAAAAACATATTTTCGCCTGTACGTTAAATTAGCGGCCATGATCCATGCACCAATGAAAATAAGCATTTGCGCCATACTCGAAGCATGAAAACAAATCTGATACAATATATAGACAGATGTGATAGCAATTAAATTTGCATTTTATTGAAAACAACAGGATCTCACTGTTGATGTGTAAAATTTTGCTTGACAAATTCTTTGAGGACGTAAATGAAATTACAGAATGCTTATTATTTAACAAACATTGAGTGAATAATCAATTTACTTTCTGTTAACAGAAACATGTGGCGCACTCTACTGGGCGGTAGAACAGCTACACGACTACGCTGCATGCATACATATGTCAGCGTAGTCGTGAAGACGTACTACCGTCCAATAGACTGCGCGACATGTTTCTGTTAACAAGTACGTAAATTGGTTAATTATTGTTTATTCACTGAAACAAAGAAGTTATTATTTAGTAAATTTGAATGCCAACCTTAATGCAAAATAGATCCTAAATTGGTACGTATAGTTTGTATTTCCCGGGGTACATTTATGTTGGTAACAGCTTTCTGTGTTGTGACATTGTCGCAAGGCTTGTCAGGTAATTACGTTTATTTTCGATCTTTTTTCCTCAATATTTGCACTGTTATTTTATAATAAGTTTTTTTTCAAAACTTTGAGGTGTCCTTTCAAGCATTTTGCTGAAATGCCTAAACCTCTGGGTCGACAGGCAACAGAGTTCGTCATATCTTTAACGAAATATTTTGAGACCGAACGAGATCATGGAGCTCTATTATTGGCTTTACAGTCCATTAGAGTGGTATTAGGTAGTAAATAGAATTTACACTAGTTCTAGCGTTTACAAAACATACGCTCCGTAATGTCGGTTGCGGTAAGGCATCGAAAACACAAAGTAATTTTGTGAAACGTCCTAGGATCTAGAAGTTTTAATTAAAGTGGCAACCATGTGCGTCACTGTCATTATTTGACGTTGTGACGTAACTGCTTTGATGCAGTGGATAAACTATACTCAAAGTGCGTTAAAAGAATTCAGCAAGCAGAATTTTGTACAGCAGCAGTGAGACACTCTTATTTTCAATAATATGCCCAGTAATGGCGTAATGTAAATATCAGGCTTGATTCATGCTGCAATTAGGCCAAGAATTCTTTTTGATTAATAGAATTTGCGTCAACTTTTTTGCTTGCACACGAATGAAAAAGTAGGTTTTGTAGCTAAACCAGCTGATTTATGTAGCATTTTTGTTTTAATACTCTAATTTGCACAAATCGAATAATTTTTTTCTAGTTTGAGAGACATCTTGAAAGAAATCGACCCACTTCATTAGTAAAATCGGGCCGTGGGCGTCGCTGAATTATGTGTAAAGAATTAGGTGTCTTACTTGTTGCTGCTGTTGCTGATTGGCCTGCTGGAGGGCCATGGCTCCAGGTGTGACAACGTGTATCTGACTGCTGTTGCTCTGTTGGCTGGGAGAATGGGCCGGTATCGAGTTGGTGGATCCCGGTACCGGCGAGTTCTGGTTAGAGTTAGAAAGGTTCTGAGGTATGTTCTGAGGCGGACCTCTGGCTTGGTTCCAAAAGTCGTTGTTCATCTTGAATACCGGTCTGTTGTTGACCTCCGCCATCGGTATCTGAAGCGGTGTCAACGGAGTCGCCCTTAGGTCCAGGGCGGCGTTTTCTTGTATCTTGAAGGAATTCTGTAGCCACTTCGCTACAAGATTCTCATGTTCCACTTTTAGGTTACTGAGTATGTTTTGTTCCTCCGTCGTGAAAATTTTGATGAATTATCTGGAAACCGGGGTAGAATTCGCCGTGTTTGACCCCGGCGACGTTCTATATCTTCTATTGCACTCTTCAAGACGGCTGGTATGGTGCCGTGATCGGTGCGCGGTTCTACTGAGGAGCTTGAAGGGTTGAGATACTCGCCGGCTCGTCGATTCAGTTTTTTCGACAAGCAGATGTTCTCTGGGTGACCCTTTGTAGGTTAATATAATTGCAGATAGATCTGAAAACAATACGGTGTGATTTTAAAGGGGGTTATGCGTATACCTTCTGGCAAAAAAAAGAGGTGGTGAATATATTTAAAAGCGGCCGCTTTCGTACATAAAAAACGGAGTATTATATAGGTCGACGAGTAGTTTTTCCGATCATTAGACATTCATTGGGCACAGATTAAGAAAATAATTTTGACTTTCTAGGAGAAGCATTTCCAAAATCTTCTAAAAGCTTTTAATTGATAGTTTTTGAAGTCATGCAATAGCTTTCGAAAGTTTATATAAAAAGGTATCAAAACCTTATTTGCTTGTGAATTGCTATTTAGACCGATTTTAAATTGGAACAAAGAAAGCATTTGGAGGTAGGTCACGTAACGTCAAACTTCTCATTGGACAGACCAGATGCTTCCAAAAACTGGAAAGATTCACCAAAGACGTATTCAGGAAAAATTGCGATTAGAATCTCAATTGCTACTAAAATTGTGAAATGGTGTATGCCAAGATAGTGCAATGGTGGTCTTTAGTATAACATATCGGAAAATCTACTAGTAAAGTTGCAATCAAGCTCAAACCATAGCATAGATAGTGCATAAAATCTGTAAGCTTTTAAAACTTTTTTAATGCAGAATAATGAAGTATCATTTTTATCACAGGGGAAACTCAAAAGTTCTTGTAGCTATAAATCCTAAGTCTCCTAGCCGAGATATAGAATATAGAGAATGATGATTGACTGTTGCGTACATTGCATCAAATTTAAAATCGCTTCATATGTGTAACTTTTACTATACCTAGAGTTGCAACAAACTGTATCCGAGCAATGGAACCTAAGGTTATATGGTTCTTTTATGTTGGTTCATAATATTGATGCCCGTTTTTGAGTCACTTTGTATAGGTTTCGATGCCTCGAGGATAATCTAAATACTACTGTACCGAGTACCTCGAAAATTGTAAATGCAAACATTTATAGTGCAACTCATCCAGCACTTTATTCATTGCAATTAAATGTAAACCGAAACGTCTGCAGTGCATTACAGTTAGATAGGTTTTTCAAAACAATTTCGCTTAAAAATAGTTTCCTGTTTAAAATTCTCATAGAAGAATATTTACATTTTACGTATAAATCACGGGCTAATACAAATAAAGCTTCGGAAGCTAACAAATGCAACTCTAGAAAATTTTGCATAACATGCTATTGGCGATTTTTCAAAATAATATGCAGTTTATCTCAACCCACGGGCGATAGGATAGAGCGTATAATCTAAACTCTGGATGATAGAATGTCTGATCAAACATCAGGAATAGGTAGATATTTTCTTGATTCAAAACTTTTGAATGACGAAAATGTAACGGGAAATCCGTGCCATACTCTTTTGGAACAATTTGGCCTAAGAATCAAGGACTCTTGAGAGAGAAATCGAAGCATAATGTATGTTAAATCTAGCTACAATCATCGAACGTGTGATAATCATACTCTACTATTGTAAACGGAGGATTTTGTTTTGGTTTGGTCAGTAGTATTGAGGAAGTAGTACATGTGAAAAAATACTCAATTTGGCAGGAATAGATATTATTGAAAAGATAAATACAACAATATTTCTAAAATGTAATCTAACAAACTGACTTTTTTCACTACTTTTAAATAGAAAACTTGTAAACAAGTTACATTGAGGTTGCATATGAAATTTTGTCATTAGAACGTTTGTCAGGTTATTGAGTTGACAGTCTTAGTATATTTTGCATAACAAAGATTTACATGGTGGTATCAATCTCAAGACCAAAATGTGTATTGTTTTTAATGATATACATTTCAAGTAACATTACGTGGGCAAAAACAGTGTCGGAAAAAATGTAATATTGGAATGTTAATAGGACCAAATCATTAGGAAGAGCAGAGATGCAAGTCATAATGCCGCTGGAACATTTTTTAAAATATATAAAAAGACAGCCTCTGAATAAGATAAGCTTGAGGAAGCTTAGGATGCTAAATTTAGAAGCATAATAATGAATACTTGTGTCAGTATGTTTTATTAGAAATATTGTTAATTCTGAATTCCCCTTACTTTAATTTTAATGTTACCGCATTCGATTTTAGCACTGGTTTATTTCCTGTTCTTTTCTTGGTAAGAGTAATGTCAAAAAAAAACAATGTGTGCCCACATCACGTGTTTATACTTGAATGTGGCACTTATAAACTGGTTGTAAAACCGGTTTTTGATACCGTCCGGAGACCTATCAGCTGTTTCAGGTTTGCTTGGGGGTTTGTCATGCGACGGAAGTAAGGCTTGATTTTACTTACAACGACTAGAAAAAATATTGCACAAGCCCAAGGAGATCTTGCAGAAGCACCGGAAACCACACAAAATTGGCGCGAAAAAAATCCGAAAGAGAACGTCGAAACAGGTAAACGTAATCACTGTGCGAGCAAGGCTTTGAAAAGCTAAGATGTAAACAAGGTTGAAGAAACTTGTGAGTCGACGGCACTTCGCGTAGGTCTGGAGGCGTCCCGACGCGTCCAAGCAATAAGAAAGTCCGTAGGTAACTAAGAAAAGCGTCGTCGGCTCCAAAAGACGTCCAGCGTCTGAAAGCGACGCCTTTACACTAAGAATATAAGGGCAAAATCTCGCCGACAGAGACGGACTTATCCAAGGGCAATGCATCTGAGAGAGATCGAGGAAAAATAATCGCGAAGTAAGACAAAGAGCTAAATATGCAAGTTTGATATTTGGGAGCGAGAGAGGGTATGTCGGCAAGGGTGGCAAAGGAGACGGTGTTACACAAGAAAAACGCGCCAGAGGGAGATGGAAGAACCTTAGAATTCCATCTTACCCTTACGCATGCGTTGGTTCATAAGGAGAGCTACCCCCACTCAGGCGCTCAGAGGGGTGCGAAAAAATTCATCCCCTCGCTGTGGATTTTTTCGCGCCCCTCCGCGGCACGCGGCGCTTCAGGGGAGGTGGTCAGACACGAGGGTGTTTTTTAAGCGGCCCGTGCGGACTTTGACCACCGCTCGGGGTGGACAGTGCGCCAGTTTGGGGTTTGGACGGTCGCTGGGGGTTGTGACGACGCCTCCACCACGTCGAGAGGAATGCTGCTTGCACCCCAGATGTCTGCGGCCTCGCGAGTCTAGTGTCTGCTCACTCCGCACGACCGCCTTTACGTTCCGAGATGTTCAGGTGAGTTTTCAGGCTGAATGTTACACGATAATTATCTAGTTTCATTTATCGGTGTATTTCTTATTTGTAGCAGGTAGGCTGGATGTATTTTAAGTGTATCAAATCGGTGTCCTATAGCTTACGTACTGCTGTACCCCCAGAGATGGCGACATATACCCCTCGTGGCTTTTTGTAGATGAAAACAATACTGTGGATAGAAACGAGGTACCTGCATGTCCGGACCATTTAGCTTCGATTACTTTCAATTTTTAGTGGGCTTTGTTCTGGTTAACGAAATTTTATGAAAGCATGTTTGAAATTTTCCTGCTCCCCTTGATCTTTTTCCGAATACAGTGTGCCCATTACAAAACACCCAAGATCCTGACATTTTTTGTGGACAAAAACATACAGGAGACAGTTTTAAGTTGGTGCCTGTTTTGCCAGTCATTTTGCTTTCAGCTTGATAGCAGTCCCATTTTTCAAAAGAGCTAGTTGATCTAAGTTTTATTTCATAAAACATCGCGAAGGTAAAGAACCTTCAGTGTTCATGGGTCTGAAAAAAGTTTTACTGTGGACAGGGCTCACCAAAGCTATTTTAAAATTAAGACAATACCACTGAGGCGTTTTCAAATACCCATTGAAGTCTTGGCACATGAAGTATCTACCTAATACGCACTTTATCCTTGTAGCTATACAGCATACAATTTTTGTGTATGTATCAGTTCACAATTCTCGCACTAACATAACTCGTATTATATCGAAATTCAGCCTCAAATGTGGTGAACTTGGATTTACATGTTTCTAATAAGGAAAAGTAAGTTGCAGAATTTCAAGCCTTTTACATTCGCACACTATTACTTTGATGAGAACTGATGTCCACGATTCCAAGAATTATCCTCCTCAGAATACTTATATAGAATTACTTAAGGGATTTTTGTTTTAACAGCTTCAAGCTTCTTAATCCGGAGATTGCAATCTACCGCAAACTATAGTTTTCAACTTGTAGTGCTTTTTAGTAATTCTTCACAGCCAAATCAAATAAATTCGCTTTCATAATTTGTATATCCATTTAATATACTACCTGCTTCAAAAGGAAATATACCTAAACATACAATATTTTTCAAGAATTCATAGACATTCGTGAAACTCGTTGAAACTGGATAGTTATCTACACGAAATTCTCTCGTTTGGTACGGAAAATTGGACTCTTCAAATACCTATACCCGATGTTGATACTATGTAATCTTTTGCTATGGGTTGTGATACGGAACTCACGTTTCTCATAATGTTTGTTCAAGTAGGTATTCAATAACAGGTGACAATTTTTTATTGCAAGAATCACTGACATACAAATATGTTTCCAAATTTCGTACAAAACACTGGAAATTCGTTAGCCTGGAAACTCGATTTTTAAAAAGGCCATAACACTTACGTATCTATCTGTCG